AGCCCTGTAGGTAGATGTCACACACCTGTTGGGATCTCGTTGGTGTTGGAGCAGTTCTCTTTTCCCCGTGCCTCCGACCCCTTTCTTATCTGCCACGACTTGATGTTCCTCAGTGTCAAGGGTCGGTTCGCGGTACACTCCATGGCCCAGGATCCCTCGACGGTCACTTCATGGGCCACTTCACGGGGCTGCACCCCGGCCTCACGCCACCTTTAGTGCGTCCTTCCTCCGTTGTTTCTTGTTCTCCAGCCATGGAATGACATCCACCGGTCTGCCCCTAAGTGGCCATCACCCCTGTCATGGTGCCTGCCAGCAAGCTCGGCCCACGGCCCTCCTTGCCTACTCCCCACCCGGCACAGAACGGGACTTTCCGCACAGACTCTGGCCTCACCGAGACCCCGTCAACCTTACTTTATAAGGACGTTGCCCCAGCTCTGTCCCCTTCAGCCAGGGCTACCCAACAACTCAAACCTCAAAAGGAAAAGCTAACTACTCAGCTCCTCAACTTGCGGAGCAGGCTATTCTGAACCTTTTTCGGTTCCTTTCTGGTCCGTCCTGGGCCCCTTGCTCTCCCGGTCCCTCCTCCAGCTCACTACCTCCTAGCTTGGCGGCAGTGCCCGCCCCGGCTGCACCCCTTTGGGGCTCTCCTGGGGGCTCTCCTGCCTGGTGTGGCTGCTTCTGCGCGCCGTTGCTCCGACACCCCACCTGTGGGTCATGCTGCCCTCTGGCTTCCGGTCCATCACGTTCCCTGTAGCACCTTCAGCACCCTCGACATCTGGGGCAGCTTCCAGCTGCGGGGTCCGTTCTTGCTCTGTCAGAGCCTTTGCCGGCTCTCCTGCTGCTACACTGTTCACCGCTGCCATCGCTGCTTCCCTCGTCGGTGGGGCTGGGCATTGCTCCTCGCTGGAGCTATCCGCCCCCTTCGCAGCTGCAACTGTCGTTTTTAACGCCGCTGGCTAGCATTCCTCCATGATGTCACCGGCTGGGCGTAACCTGATAAACAGGCAGCTAATGAGCTGCGCGGGCTTCTCCCTCCGCCTCGTGCACCTTTCGTTGGGAGCTGCAGGTGAGTCCCATTTATTGTTCAGCTCCCCGGGACAACTTGTCTTTCTTAAAGACTCCCAGGGTAGGAGCCAGCACCATTTCGCTTGGAAGTTGGTTCCAGATCCTAGCCACCTTGACAGTGAAGTACAGCCTCCTGATGTCCAATCTGAATTTACCCTCTGCCAGCTTGTGACCATTATTACTAGTCACTCCTGGTAGTACTCGGGGGAACAGGGACTCCCCCAATGCCTGCTGGTCCCCTCTGACTAGTTTGTAACAGGCTATTAGATCCCCCCTCAGCCTTCTCTTATGGAGGCTGAACAGGTTCAGGTCCCATAGCCTCTCCTCATAGGGCCTGCCCTGCTGCCCCCTGATCATGTGCATGGCCCTCCTCTGGACCCTCTCCATGTTGTCCACATCCCTCTTGAAGTGTGGCACCCAGAACTGGATGCAGTACTCCAACTGCGGCCTGACCAGTGTTGCATAGAGGGGGGGAGTATCACCTCCTTGGACCTGCTTGAGATGCATCTATGGATGCATGACAAGGTGCGGTTGGCACCTTACAGGCATCTGGGCAATCCATCAACAGCTTCATAAGCTAGGTAGGCAGGGCCCTTAGTCAAACCCACTGTTGGAGTCACTCCAACACCTTGACATTGGGCATGCCAGGGGCAAATTCCCCCCTCCATCAGTTCATGGACAGCAGTGTTTCTGAACAACCTGGTGTCATGTACCTTGCCCAGGATGATCCACTTCCACCCATTGCTGTTCATCATCCTGAAGCAAAAGAACCATTCCACTGGTTTGGAGATTCTCCCCCAGCAGCTAAGATGCATTGTATTGCACTAGCCAGCACCTCTCTGGGGCTGTCTGTGCTGGGAGAGAGGTAGAACTGGACACATAGCCTGTGGTTTAATATGAAATCCAGGAGGTGTATAGTCATCTCCCTTTTGAAACATTCATCCTTGCTGATTTTGCTGATGAGAGCTGCCACTAGTCCAGTTACCACATAACTGGGAGCACAAGCTGCTGACATTGGGTGACCGTGACCTGCTGGGCAAAGATCACATACAAGTCAATGGGCAAGTCCATTCAGCAGACCCATGGAAGCAGCATGGTAGGAACATGGCAGCAGTGGTGGCAGTAGTAGGAGGTAGCAGTGGATGGATGGTCCTATCCAGTCACTCAAGCATTCCCACCAGTGAGTGGTTTCCACCTACTGTGGAATCCCTGGGAACCTCTGGTGACTGCAAGGCATGCTAGGTTGTGTGTTCTTGCTAGCCACCTATTGACAGTGAAGCAACCACGCAACAAAGTAATACTTGAACAGGTGTACACAACAGTTAAGAAGGAACAACTTTTTTTCTTGGATGAAACAGGCCGAGTGCGATGTCTGTTCATACCCTCTGTAACATTTCTGGAATGCTTTCTTTACAAGGATGTAGTGCAAATTTTGTTTTCATATATCTGAGGCCTTCCTAAAGTACTTTAGTTTTTCTTTTCAATACCATTTTGTACCTGCAGCAGGTAGTGGCATTGCTTCTTTTCCTTTTTGTTGACTTTTAATACCTGGTTTGTTTCCTGTCAATCTGGATAGTCTATAAAACCATTACAGTCTTGATAGTGAGTGTTTTATATGTAAGCCTTAAAGATCATAGGACAACAGAAAATGAGGTTTTTACTAAAGCATATTTTAATTTTACATTTTAGACCAGCTGGTGGGAGTGAGCAGTGGACAGCAACGGCTTGTGATTTGATCTCATGTTACCTTACTGGAGCAGTAGCAACTGTAATCATACAGGTCTGCAATGAAAATGTGTGCAATGGAATTTGTCCCAGATTAGGGAAGAGAGAGGGCATTTAGTTACATATTCCATGCTGAGATTTGTTCTTTTAGTTTACATATCTGGGAGCATCACTTTTCAGATTTTCTTAAGTAAGGACTTGACATTCTTGAAGCTTACAATCTTAACAGTTATTGCCTTCTCTTCTTTTTAGAGAGCCTCTATCAAATAGTGGTAAGAAAACCATGTTTTGAATTTGACTTTTTCTTGATACTTTGCAATACTTTTTAGGTTCAAATAGAGCATGACTGTAGTTCTTATTTGTCACCTTTTTGCTGTAGATGTTATTTAAATGCTTGGCTTTATTTTTATTTAAGCTCTGTCAGCAGCAGCCTTTGAAACTGCTGACCAGAGTTGTTACCAGTTGGCCTGCAAACCTAAGCAATGATAGGATTTCCTTTGCATGGCTTTTCTCTCTCTTTTGAAAGAAATAAAATTGGCAACCCAAAAAACAAAAACAAAAAAAGCTTTCCTTTTTCCACAGTAAAGAATTCTCAGATAGCTCCTGCACACTAAGTTAGACTCTACTGAGGCGATAGTGAGATGGATTTAAGCTGTGGTGCTTCTAAAATATGAATGTGATAAAGTTCTGTCTCTTCTTAATTTGGACATAGCTATTGATCAGCTTTCCCTGTGTAAAAGAAGGGATGATTTTACAGTTGATGAAATAAAGGTTGTTAGTAGATCAGTGGAAGCCACAAGATTAGACGCTTAAGATTTTATTAGTCCCCTTAGCTGAGTGAATTTACTCAACACTGGTTTCTAACTTACTTTACTACCATCCGTTTCTGAATGCCCAGGTATCAGTAAAATCAAGATATTTTATCTTTAAAATATCTTTCTTTTAAAAGTAATTTTACTACCTCCTTATTTCTCATGTAGATTTTGCCATGGTTATATATAAACTTTGTCACCTCACTAACAGATTGTTTGTTGTGAATAATTTCAAGAACATTGATGTTCTCATTATAGGATATTTGCTACTAAAATGGTGGCTCTTTCATTTATTTTTGTTCCCAATACTTGTGTTTTTGAAATTTTTCCAGCTTTTCTTAAATTTTATATAAGTGGTGCCTTACTTTTTGGTTAAAATATATTGTATTTTTTTATGTGCATATATATAGTAAATATCCAGGAATTGAGGTTAGCACTGTTTTCCAAGAGAGAGGGCAGCTGAGACAGGGAAAGAGCAACAAAAATAGTGGCTACACCCTACCATGGTTTGGTGGCTAATATATATATATGTACATTCAGAATAGCATTTCCTTAATCTCATTTTGTAATACCTCCTTTTTAAATAATGCTTTCAACATTTTAAAATTATTTCTTCTCCATTTTTTAAACTTCTTTAATCACACCTGTTTCCTCATCATGTTATCCATTCTGCAGTAAATTGTCATCTTCAAGCCCTTTTTCATTGCCATAATACAAAACTTAAGTAGAAACACTGGCAGAGATCAGAAAACAAAGAAAAGTTGCTAGGCAAAGAACAGTGCCCTGTGTAAAAGGCTTAGGCAAATTGTTGATATGACAAACAGTAAAAATAAAAAAAGCAGTATTTAAGGAGACTTTTAAGTTGGATTGTGTTGTGTGACCTTTTAAATTTCTCCCAGGAAAAAGGTGCAACTCAGCCGTTACCTGTAAAAATATTTTGCAAAGATGAAGCAGAACAGTCTGTTGATATTTCTGAATATCTTATTTCAAAGGGCTTGGCTCTCAGAAACAGAAGGTACAAATATTTTTGGGGGGGCTAAATATAACTGTTTTTTCATATATTCAGTTGCCATCATAGTTGACACAAAGATTGGTATTATATTAAACTAGTAAATCATTGGAAATTTACATGCTCTATTTCAAACTTTCTGTAGGCAGGATAGCATTTTAAATTGGCATGGTGGTATCTTCTTTCACCATTACATTCAAATGCATTCTGTAGTTATTTATTTAGACTGAGAACTGATTTTGAACTGTGCTCATCAAATTATGATCTAATTTTTATTCTTTCTCACTTGCAAGTACCTGATCTTCTGATTTATTGTGTTGAATCTGTTAGAGTTCATAAAACTGACACAAGTGCTGTTGTCCCAGAGGAATATCTTGAAGTTGGTTTGAAGCAAGAGAGCTCAGTCTTAAACAAGCTGACTCCAGAAACTGAAAGTATACCAAAAAGTTCTGTTCCAAAGCAAGAAGTTGTTTTTTCTACAAGTGAACGAAGTGAAACCAAAGAATGCAAAACAAAGTCAGTGCTAAAGTCAAGGCCAGACAGAGTATATAAACCACCCCTTGTACCAGATGAGGAAATTTTTCAGGCTCTAATAAGCTGTATTGGAGATGATGGAATTATTTATATAATACCAAAATCTTTAGGTAAGATTTTATATGTATAGAAAATAAAATATCCTTATGGTATACTTATTACTGGCATTGCAGTACAGTACTAAAATGAGTGCCAAAAAGCTGGGCCAGGCCGGGCCTGGCCACATGCCACACATCACCTGGGATGAGATGCATGCTATATGCAACCTTGTATCTTCAGTAGCAGCCGTATTGTCATAAAACACGTGCTGATTTCATATTTTATCCTGTTATGATATTCAGTAGTAAAATTACACTTCAAATTTAAGATTTTTTTGTAAATAAGAAATTACTTTTTAGAAGTTATTTTAGCTAATTTAGGGATTGTATTATACAGTTACAGTATTTCCATATTTTCCATTTTATAATCTTGAAATTATTGCTGCTGTTCCAGAACAGTAAAATTATCAGAACTTGAAATCAAGAATCCCAACCCAGTTGGAGATGCTTAGGAATAAAAATGTGCATTGAAATTTGCTGTGAAAAAAGCTGTGTATTTTACTCTAAATTATTATGGTTCAACCTTAACATTATGTAAACTTTTATTTTTGATTCTAACAATTCAACTAAAGAAATCTGATATTCGCTTTTTAAAAATTCCGTTTTACCCCATTTTTATTCAGAAAAAGTATTAAATGTATTGATGGCTGATATACAAAGTAACTTCAAATGTCTTGGTCTTCTTGAACAATATTGTTGGAGAAAAGGAGAAGCTTGCGTTATAAGAGGACCGGATACCATGTGGTATCGAGGTAAAGTTACAGAAGTTGTTGGTGGTGCTATCAGGGTAAGTTTGTTTTTTCTTTTATAACTTATTTTGTATGACAAAACAGCCTCTGTATCTTTATCTTTGTGTGCATTAGCATTTTTGTCAATTCAGGAGCTCTTGGCCATCAGAGACATTATCAGGGATCACTGTGTGGAAGTGGCTTTTGTTGATCTCCTTTTATAACTGACAACAGTATAAACATTAAATGTGTAAATTATACTAGTTCTGTAATTCAGATGACTACTCAGTCAGTAGAAACTTCATGTTTCAATACTGATTCAATTAAAAGAGTCCAATCAGTCTGCTCTCTCATGTTTGCTGATTTTGACAAGCAGCTCTGTTGGTTAGGACTAGGCTAATAAACATTTACGTCTTTATTTTCTGAATATGGAGATTAAGCGTGGAGCCATTTCATGAGGAACAGACTTCTCTCTGCAAGTATTTATATTAACATTTTGCTGAAGTATTTTTGGTGAAAATCGGACTTTCTTATTAATTTGAGAGAGAAACTTTGCATGCTTGCTCTGACCTACCATTTCCTCAGTCAGTGGACTATATCCAAAGTACAAAAATCAATGAATCGTGTCACAGGCCAACTAGGCGTTGTAAGTGTATCAGCCGTTAGGCTGCTGGGTTTGGGATTAAGGAGGCGAGTCAGGAGTGAAGCAAAGGCAAATTTACTGATAGCTCACACATACAACAGTTAACAGGAAAGTTATTATGACAAACAAATAGTACAGTAATAAAGAGCTAATAGTGAATAATAACATCAGATAGAAGCAGAGAGTTCCCACATGGGGTTGGCAACTTATTGGCAGTCCCTCTATGCCAGGTGTGCACCAAGTTGTTCCAGCGAAGTCAGACATCTACGTTCAACGCTGTCCAAGGGGTTACTGGGAAGGTCTCTAGGTCAGGATCCGGTCCTCACTCACACTGGGAGTCTGGGGTCCGGGCTTGGTACAGCAATGGTCCTTCTGTACCATCCTTCATGCTGCTCACCTGACATACGTGCTTTTTTTATATCTTACTTTATGTTAGCTCAGAGCCACTCACAATCTTGTTCTACAGCTGTTACCCTATGGGATTAGAAGGTGTTAGAAATTATCATAAAAGGTTACTGCCTAAACTTGGACTCGCTCAATAAGCAAATCACACCACATCACTTTGGGGTTTGAGATTAGCATTTACTCCGCCCAAGTTCAACCCCTTGGTTTCTTCCTCTTCCTTGGATTTACAAAAGATGCTAATTATATTTTGTGGTCAGGGTTTGTCGTTATGGTTGAACTTTAAGTAAGAACTGTTAGATTAGTTGATGTTTGCAGTTTTATTTTTGGAGCTCATGGTCAGTGCAGACAGTTAGTTTCAACACTTTGGTTAAACTTATGACAGACAAGGTACATTTGCGGTTTGCAAACTTGCAAGCTTTGCATTAGCTAATATTAACTGTCAGACAATTACCAGATGTTTCCAAGAGCATATATTTATTGTTTTAACCCCTCTTGTTCTGGCCATCACAATCATGAGTTCTGTCTTTTTAGAAAAAACAGTCTGTTGACAGTATTGTCTAATACCCCTGCTGGAGAAGAACATTTTTCTTAAAGAAATTTTGTTTTTTATGTAGGTGGAATACTTGGACTATGGCTATGTTGAAAAGATCCCTCAGTGTCATCTCTATCCAACTTTGTTATATGCTGAAATACCTCCATTTTGCATCCCATGCCAGCTCTATAAAACAGTACCAGTGAGTAAATGTTAAATTTGGTAGTGGTTCAGATTAAATACTAATGGCTTTGTGTCATACTAAACCATTTCATGATAATGTGAGGTTTGACAAAAGTTTCGCTTGAAATCATGCCATGTAAACTGTGTATTCAGTTAAGTGATTACGTATATGTATAGATATAGTTACAGGCACGTACAAAAGCATTCTATGCAAGTCTGTTCTGTAGACTCTGCTGGATCATCCCATAAATTGGAAATCAGAATGAAAGAAGGAGTTAAATTCCATTAGTTTCCTTTGGCATGTCCCCTCTTCCCTCCAAGTTGTTAAAGCTTACGTTCTGTGGAAAAGTATTATTAACACAGTAAAACTGATTTGATTTACAATAATGATGTAGGTACAACAATATTTCTAAATATAAATGCCTAAAAATTACTATGTTTTTGCTCTCTAAGATCTGCCCTTGTCTATGTGGAAATGCATGCCGGTAGGTAATACTACATTCTGTTTGTTGGCATTTGTAATGTGTGTGGGGGGGGGTTTCCTTCACCATCTAGGTTGGAAGTTTTTGGCAGCCAGATGCAGTAGAACTCCTTCAAGAACTACTTACGGCAAGAGTTGTTGAAATACATATTATGGTAATTTAATTTATGTTTGGGTATAAGAAGTAAAGCCTACTAAATGCATGTATCTTTTAACATATACTCTGAATAACTGATGCAGTGGAATAAAACTTGTTGCTTCAGGTTATATAAGAAATCAGATGGCAGTGATTAGTGTAATCTAATATATGGAGCAGTTAACAGCAGATTTTGAGTTTTTAGGGAATTTGGTATGTTCATGCTTGCTTCCCATTTCCCCCCATGCTTTCAGTGTGTGTGTATCGTGTTCTTAGTGGGGGGGTTGTTTGTTTTTTGTGTCTGTTCTCTGCTTCTTTGATGTTTTAGAGTGTTTTTCTGTTTCCCTAAGTGGGTTTATGCTGATGTTTTTGTGAGAGCGAGAGAGACTGTTCCTTAAAAAAAGGTGCTGGCAAATAGTGTCAGTAGCTGAGTTGCTAAGCATGACTTGATATCTGAGGAGGATAATGTGGAAATTGTGGGGTGTATATCATCTTTCAATGTATTGGAAATGCTCAACCAGTGGGTTGCAACCCGAAAGTGTGGTGCAAGAGTATTTGAAAGGGTTGTGAGCAGGTTCCAGCCTGCAAGTGGCTGCCTGGGATGATTGGAGGCAGCGGGCGTACATTCACAGATGCACATGGCCAGTATAGAGCAAGGCCGGGTCATGGGAGCAGCCCCAGCCACTGGACACAGGTAAGTATGGGGAGTGGGGGATGGAGGTCTGAAAGTTAATGGATTGGTACTTTCAGGAATATTTGGGATGCTTGACTAGCAGGTATTCATAGACAGAGGACTTTTCTTTAAAGATTAGTTTCACCTGAATAAGCAAGGAGATAGCCACCCAGTGTGGAACATGAAACCAGATGTTATAAGAGTAACCAAAACATGGTTGAGTGGTAACCATGAAATGTAGGTACTGAAGGGCACAAACTGTTTAGGTAGGATATCAATTAAATGATAGAGTATAATAAACTAAAATGTGATTGCATAGCTTTCATAGACATTAGGGTCTGGAAGGTACCTCGAGATCATCGAGTCCAGCCCCCCTGCCAGAGGCAGGAAGTCTGCAGGGATCAAATGATCCCATCAAGGTAAACATCCTTTTGAATGAGTCCAGAGTAGGTGCTTGCACCACCTCTAGGGGGAGTCTGTTCCAGACCTTGGACATGCAGACTGTAAGGAAGTTTTTCCTTGAATCGAGTCTGAATTGGCCTTCTAGAAGTTTGTGGCCATTAGACCTAGTTATCTTTTGGGGAGCCCTGGTGAACAACTGTTCTCCCAGATCCTGATGCATCCCCCCCATATACTTATAGGCAGCCATCAAATCCCCCCTGAGCCTTCTCTTTGCCAGGCTGAAGAGTTCCATATCCCTTAGTCTCTCCTCATAAAGCTTGCTCTCTTGGCCTTTGATCATACAGGTGGCTGTCCTCTGGACTCTCTCAAGCTTATCTATATCCCCTCCTGAAGTGTGGGGCCCAATACTGGATGCAGTACTCCAGCTGTGACCCCCAAAGCCAAGTAAAGCGGGAGGATGATGTCCCTGGTTTTGCTCAAGATGCATTGGTGGATGCATGCCAGAGTTTGGTTTGCTCTTCTGGCCACAGCATCACATTGGTGGCTCATGTTCATCTTCTGGTCAATCAAGACCCCCGAGTCTCTTTCGATCTCAGTGCTAGCAAGCGTAGCACTGCCGAACCTATAAGTATGATGCTGGTTTTCTCCCAAGGTGGAGTACCCTGTATTTCTCTACATTTAATACTATCAAGTTTAGGTCTGCCCACTTTGCAAGCGTGTCCAGGCCAGCCTGCCCTCCAGTGTGATCGCCTTCCCCCATGGTTTAGTGTCGTCTGCGAACTTTGACAGCCCGCATCTGACACCAAAATCCAGATCATTAATGGAAGAGTACCAGCCCAAGCACTGAGCCCTGGAGGACTCCACTGGTAACCTTGCGCAACATTGATTTGTTCCCATCCACTAGTACTCTTTGGATCTGACCCTGGAACCAGTTCCCCAGCCATTGGACTGTGAGATGACCAAGGCCACAGTTCCCCAGCTTGGTCATGAGGACATCATGGGGGACCAAGTCAAAGGCCTTCTTGAAATCCAGATAAATGACATCAACCTCATTTCCCTTGTCCAGGCAATGCATCACCTAGTCATAGAAGAAGATGAGGTTGGTCTGGCAAGACCTTCTAGTAATAAAACCATGTTGGCTGGCATTCAGTAGGTTGCCTTCTGTTAGCCTGTTTCAGATGGGTCCCTTGATAATTTTCTCCAAGATCTTTCCAGGGATGGACATCAGGTCTGTAATTCCCTGGATCTTCTGTCCTCCCTTTCTTGAAGATTTGGACCACGTTGGCTCTTTTCCAGTCTTCCAGTACATCACCCAAGCACAACAAGCTTTCATATATCTTGGCCATATGGCATGCTATGATGTCCCCCAGCTCTTTTAAGACTCTTGGGTGCAATCCATTCGAGCCCACAGACTTATGGATGTCAAGCCTCCTGAGGTGTTCTCTCACTTGATCTTCGTCAGTTGTGGGCCCATCTCCCGAGCCCTGGGTGCTTTGCGTCCTGCCTGACAATGTGACCCCCTTGGGTGGGTGGAAAACTGGTGCAAAGTAATCATTAGGAGACTGAACTTTTCTTGAGCATCAGATGTCAGCTGCCCCATTTGATTTCACAGGGGGACAGTATTGCTTTTGTTCTTCCTTCCACTTCCCACGTTTATGAAGAAAAACTTTTTGTTATCCTTGAGTCTGGTGGCTAGCCTGAGTTTAGTTACTGCCTTGGCTTTTCTGGACCACTCCTTACAGGTACGGGCTAGTGCAGAGTAGTCCTCCTTGGTGATGATTCCAGTTTTCCATGTGATGTAGGCTTCTCTTTTTTGTTTCAGGAGGCCCAGAAGTTCCCTGTTGACCCAAGGGGGCTTCCCTGCCCTTTGAGTGCATTTCTTGTGGGACGGGATGGACTTCCCTTGCGTTTTGAGGATTGTGTTCTATAGGAACAACCATTCCTCATGGACTCCCCTTCCTAGGGAGCCATGGTCCCTTAGTGCCTGACTGATCAGTTTCCTGAGTTTGTGGAAGTCAGTCTTCTCAAAGTTAAGGATTTCTGTTTTACTGAGGGATTTGCCCACCCTGCATTGGACAGAGAAAGTAATCAGATCATGGCCGCTGTCACCTTTGATCCTCAGATCAGTCACCAGATCATCCCCTTTAGTCAGAACCAGATCCAGAAGTGCCTCTCCCCCAGTTGGCCTGTAGACCTCTTGAGCCGGGTACAGGTCATCAGTGCAGGTGTGGAAGTTGTGACTGGTCAGATCTGGCTGTGTGCTTTTCCCATAAGATGTCAGGGAGATTGAAGTCTCCCATGACAATCATACATCATGACCGTGCGGCCTTGGCCAGTTCCCTGTTGTATTCAAGATCTAGTTCTTCCTCTTGGTTAGGTATCTGTAATAGACTCCTGTGAATATATCCCCTTCCCCATGCTCCCCCCCCCACGTATTTTAACCCAGAGGGTCTCAAGACACCCTCCATGGTTAATGAACTCAGTTTGAAGGGAAGAGTACTGCTCCTTGACATGGAGAATTATACCCCCACCGCTCTTCCCAACACAGTCTCTCCTGGAGAGGGTATAGCCTTCTATATGTACCAGCTAGTTGTAGGAGGAGTCCCACTGGTATCTTTTATCCCTACAAAGTCATAATCTTTATCAGCCAGGAGAAGGGCCAGCTCCTCTTGCTTGTTACCCAAGCTCCTGGCATTTGTGTACAGGCAGTTGAGTTTCCTTATGTGATGGGGCATGACCTTTCCTTGGGCTCCCGTCAGAGTGGGTTCCCTTGTGCTACGTAAGCTGTTACTACTGTGATTGGCATGACATAGGCTAGAACTGTTGATTGACCACGCATCCCCCTTTGATGGCATAATTATAACAGAATCTGTTTGAGTTTGTGTTGTGGAGTTTTTTTAGATCTCCAGTTGTGGAGATGGGTAGGGATCTTGGGTCTTGAAGCATTAAGTAATGGTTGAAATTGTATAAGTAAGATTTTTTTTTATTTCCCTTGTGTAGATTGGATAACAAAAGGAGAGTATGATAGGGTGCCTTCTTGATTAATTTGGATATGTGGATGCAGGCATTTAGGTTAGACTTTAGAAAGAACTGTTTCTGTGCAGAAAGTAATTTCATGATTCAGGGGGTTTGCTGGTTGCCTGCAGGAGCCAGGAAGGAATTTTTATTTCTATTATGAAGGCTTTATTGCCTTGTAGGAGATGGGGTTGGGGGAGAGCAGCATTCCCCCCCACTTCTGCTTTCTCAAAAGAAGTAGCTATTGGTCACTGAAAGTAGTAGTTTTGATTGACTGCATGCACTAGTCCTTCTGTTGGTAGTCAAATGCATGGCTGGAGGGTTTTACTAGTCTGCTCAGGATCAAACATATTGACTTGCGGGGAAAAAATCCTTTTCTGATCCTCAGAGCTAACTGATTAGCAAGGACTGTTGAAGGTTTTGCCTCCCTTTGTACCATGAGGAAATATCCTCTTCCTAAAATCATTTAAGCCTATGTTAATGGAATAACCTTTACCATCACAGTGGCTAGCTTTGGTGGTATCCTTGTCTCCCATGCTTTTTATTTGTGGAATATTGTAGTGGTTTTTTGGGGGTATTTTTCATAAAAGGCCCTCATATGTATTACATTTAGGGTACTACATGTAAATTTGCAAATTAGCTTGTGATAAAAAGGCAAGAGACAGGTCTGCAGCCCAACCTTTTATTGCTTACACTGTAAAACACAAAAACAAACACTTATCCTAGTCTGCTTGCCTACCCATGAAAGCACAACAGCGATTATTACCTGTACCAGCTGGGAAGATTCAAAAGGGGGTAGAGGAGGGTGGCACAGAGACTGACAGCAGGACTGCTGTGACAGTTGTTAAAATATGCTTGAGAGATCCAAGGAAGAGGGTCATGCCTCCCACTGCAAAGGAGGGGAAAAACCAACAGACCATACCAATCTAACCATAGGATAAAATTCCTTTCTGGCCATAATACAACAATCTGTCTGACCCTAAGCAGAGGGGCAAGACCCTCAGGCCAAAACCTCCAGATTTTAGTTTCACAGTATTGCCACACTCCCCAGTCAAAATTTCCAGCTCTAACTATAGCCAACACCCAATGCTTCTGAGAGAGGCAAAAAAATAAAATAAAATGAACCCAATGTGTAGTAGCAATAGGAAGGGAAGAAAATTCCTTCCTGGCCCCACTTGACAACCAGCAAAGCCTAGAAGCCTGAGAGATGCCCATAATGTGCTATCGGCATAACTAATCCTACATCGCTCCTAACCAATGCTTGTCCAACCTCTTCTTGAACACCTCCAGTGATGAAAATTTCACAACTTTCTTAGGCAATTTATTCCATTGTCTCATTATCCTAACAGTGAAGAAGTTTCTTTTGATGTTCAGTCTAAACCTACTTTGCCATAAATTCAAGCCACTGGTTTATGTTCTGCTCTCTGCAGCAAGAGAGAAACAGTATTTTCCCTCTTTTATAGAAGAATTTTGAGCATTTGAAGACTGCTGTCATATTCCCTCTTAGATACCTTTTCCACAAGCTGAACATACAAATTTCCTACAGCCTTTCCTCATATGACTTGGCCTTCAAGACCTTTATCATTTTTGTTACCCACCTCTGAACCCCCTCAAATTTCTCCACATCCTTTTTAAAATGTGGAGCCCAAAACTTCATGCAATACTATACAAGAGACCTAACCAGTCCAAGTGGAGAGACACAATCACCTCCTGTGTCTTGTACCTAATGCTCCTACTGATGCATCCCAAAACCTCATTTGCCAATTTTGTGCAGCTATATCACACTATACACTCATATTGAGTTTACAGTCCACCAAGATTTCTAGATTCTTTTCTGGTACTGCCATCCAGCTATGTGGTCCCCAATTTTGTATTTGTGTTATTGATAATTCTTCTGAAGGTGTAGCACCTTGCATTTGTCACTACTGAACTTCATCCTGTTAGCTCCAGCCCAGCTTTCCAATCTGTCCAGATCGTTCTGAATTGTGCTTCTGTTTTCCACCATGTGCACAATCCTTTCTAGTGTTGTCTGCAAGTCTGCTCAAGAAGCTCTCTATTGCAGCATTCCTGTGGGACTCCATTTGAAACCTTGTGGCATTCTGACACAGATCTGTTTATAATTACACTTTGGTTGCAGCTGTTGAGTCCATTATCTATCCACTTCATAGTAGTTTTGTTTAACCCATATTTCACCTTCACCATCCACCGTTAAAGCTGGCAAGTCAGTCAGCAACATGGAAGTCCATGACTTCAGGAAAGCCGACTTTGATAAGCTCAGGAGGCTTGTCAGTGAGTCCCTAAGGGACCACAACCCCAGGGAGAGGGGAGTTCAAGAAGAGTGGTTGCTCCTCAAGGGAGCGATCCTCAATGCACAAGCTAATTCTATTCCATCTTGGAGGAAAGGCAGCAAGAGGGCACAGCAGCCCCCCTAGCTCTTCAGGGATGCAGCAGACCTCCTGAGGCTAAAAGGAAAGGCCTACAAAGGATGGAGGATGGGATTCACCTCCAAGGAGGATTATTCTGCACTGGTCTGGTCCTGCAGGGAGCAAACCAGGAAAGCCAAGGCTGCAACTGAACTCCAACTAGCTTCGAGCATCAAGGACAATAAAAAATCCTTTTTCAAATATGTGGGGAGCCGGAGGAAAA